GAGGGTCCTCCAAGGTGCCCACCCTCCCACCCCTTTGATGTTGTATGGCGCGAGGACGCGCCTTCTGGAGGGGGGCGCTATGTGAGGCTTGTGTTGTGTTTTGTTCCCCATGTGCTCCCTGTGTCCCAGTGTTTAGACCTTTTTTGGTTATGTTCCTGTCCTGATTATTTCATTGAGTTCATTAGTTTCCACCTGTGGTTGTTTATTTGATTCAGCTGCGTTTAATTTACTCCCTCGTTATGTCTTGTATTTAAAGTGTAGTCTGTCGGATGTTTCTTTGTCAAGTCTGAACGCCGTTACCTGTTTCCTACGTGTGTGTCCCTGGTTCCGTGTGAAAGAATAAAGTATGTATCATCGTGAATTTCCCTCCGTTTCCTCGTTCCTCGCTCCTCACAGTAGGGAGCGTGACATCCGTGTTTGCGTTTACCTTTTGCGTCCATTCATTTTTCATTTTTTAACCTAGAAATGAAATACGGAAAATGCGGTTTCATTGTTTAGTTCTGACACTGAATAATAGAATAAGCAGACACATTCATTTTCATTATTCAAAAGTCTTATTTCATTAAAAATCGTAAAAATTATATACAGCTTGTTTTTTTTACTGTAGCCTACATAAATGCTCAATTTAATTGTTTAGCTTTTTAGTGCTAAAAGTGCCCTCTAGCGCAACCGACGGGGCTACCGGTAACCGGTTGCTTTATAAAAAACCTCTTGCATCAATATTTGGAAGGCATCGATATTTTCATTATCATAAAGCTAGTTTCTCAAAATATTTTAATCATTTTTCACGCCTTAAAGTATTTGTGATTTGCATTTAATATGCGTATCCAGGCACTGTTCTACAGGGGTGCTAAGCACCCTCAAAAGAAAGCAAGAGCACCCTGAGGCTGTAAAAATAGGATATGGCAAAACATATTCGGCAAACACTCCAGTGCTCTGGAGAGCTTAAAATATTTCTCTTTACAACGTGTTTTTGCAGTGTTGATCAATGTAGCCAGTCGCAGACATACAGTATCATGCTGCTAAGTAGACGCATTACTTCTAATTTGGCCAAACAGAACATTTTTTTCCATATAAGTTTGTGCATTTTGAAAATGTTTATTAAACGTGCAAAAAGTCATAAACAAAAATCTGAAAAGTCAATGTTTTACTTTTTCATGCAGCATTTTGTGTGAACGGTTCTACTTTCAGTTTTGGTTTTCAACAGCATTTAAAAATACAACAACCGTTCTTTTTTTCATCATGGTTAAAAAATGAAAAATGAATGGAAGCAAAAGTACATGGACCTAATATGTACATTTTTACTTTTTTTTTTTCTTTTGTACATTTTATATGAATTTTCATCATTTTCAAAACTAAAATCAGCAAGCTTATATTTTGGTGAGTTGCTGGCAAGTAAATTAGGAGTTTATTGAGGCAAAAGAAGAAGGTCCCCAAACTAAAGCGTGACCGTCACTTTTTATGTCACTCATTTCAAAACGAAGCAGGTGTTGCAGGTTGCTCATAAAGAATCAAAATGTGTTTCCAAAAGTTTCTGGTAGTGCAAGCATTATGTAAGTTCATCTCAACTACATGTCAGTTATTATTAAATGAATAAAATGACGTCTTGCTCATGTTATCTTTAGATTTAAAAACAAAACAACAATTGTTCCAGTTTTATTTGTATTTTTATCAAATATATATTAGATGTACTGATACATGAAACTGCATCTCGGTATGAAAAAAATGGTAACAAAGTTAGACTGTTTCTTTCTCCCATCCATCGATGGTCTTGAGAGAAAACACTGCCGCAGCCTCATGTCACTAGAGTTCTGAGCACAGCATCCACATGGATCAGATGTGCATTCTCTGGTTCATATATATATATATATATATATATATATATAGTGTGTGTGTGTGGAATATATATCGTCTGTTTTTCTTCGTGTCTGTGTAGATCACGCGCCGGTATGCTGAATTCTCCTCTGCTATTGTCAGCATAAACCAAACATTTCCCAACGAAAGGACCCATACTCTTCTGGGACAGCTGCAGGTGAGAACGGAAACACCTCTGTGTCCTCCAGGTGTAGAGCGGCTCACGCTGAAAGCTGTCGTGATCTGATTTCAGGTGGAGGTGGAGAACTTCGTGCTGAAGATGGCGGCTGAGTTTCCCTCTAGACGAGACCAGCTCATCTTCCTCATCAACAACTACGACATGATGCTCGAAAACCCTGTCGTCTTTTACTCACCATCATGTCGTTCCAAACCTGATAGCACAAGCATTTTAACATAAAAAACACCCTTCAGCTTTAACTTCTGAGCAAATAAATATGTTCGTATAAAACAAAAGCTATTCTAAATATTCTATTTTACATTATATTTTATTTTTACTATATTACAAATATTTCAATTATTGTATTTGACAAATCCAGATCTTTTTGACTCTTTAGTATGAGTTGTGGTGTTTTGTAGTTTAGCTGGTTGTATTTTTTATTTTATTTTTTCTGTTCAAATGCTGTTTAATGTTGTCATCCTCATGGAGATGGATGAAATCATCTCATTATTACAGTTACATTAAAGTAGCTTCACCATCACAGTTCAACACTTACGCTACTATTCCAAAGTTTGGGATCAGTAAGATTTGTGTTCTTGTTGTTTTGAAAAAAATGTAAAAAAAAAAACTTGTCTTTAGCTGGGATGAATTAAAATGTTAAAAATGACAGTAAACACACTTATAAATTCACCAAAGATTTGTTTCAAATAAATGCTGTTCTTTCTGTTCATCATGAAAAAATCCCCACACTTCATTAAGCAGCACAGCTATTATCAACTCTTTCTTGAGCAGCAAACCAACATTTTAGAATGATTTGTACATCAATATTGGATGAATGGCCTCTAAAAATTCAGCTTTGATCACAAAAAAAAATAAATAAATACTACTACTATTAAAAAGCCATTCTTTTTCGTCGTAACGATATTTCACAATATTAGAGCTTTTGCTGTATTTTTGATCAAATCGATGCAGCCCTGGTGAGCAGAAAACTGAAAAAGCCTTATAGTGAGCCCAAACTTCTGAGTCCTGTCACAGTGTTTCCCAGCAGCGCAGACAGAGGTCTGGTGATTTAACACTTGTCTGCGTGTGTGTGTGTGTGTGTGTGTGTGTGTGTAGCTCGTATCACGCAGCTGGTGCGGGGTTTCTCCAGCACGTGGAAGCAGTCTGTGGAGGCCTTGAGTCAAGATGTCATGCACTCCTTCACCAACTTCAAGAACGGAACCAGCATCATTCAGGTGCAACCTGGTGAAATAATGACGTTCTTTCTTTCATAGCTCATAAATGTGCTGTCAGACTGACGAGTTGCTGGTTGTGTTCTCTAGGGAGCGTTGACCCAGCTCATCCAGTACTATCATGGTTTCCATAAGGTCCTCTCCCAGCCAGCGTTTCGCAGTCTGGCAGTGCGCTCCGAGCTCATAAACCTCCATCATCTGATGGTGGAAGTCAAGAAGCACAAACCAAACTTCTGATCTCGCACAAGAATCCTCAGCATTTGTGGTAGCTACACTGCAGAAATCATTCTTTGGGAGGACCTGAGAATCAATGTACACATTCATAAAACATGATGCATTTCCCTGATAAGCAAAACTAGGTAAAAAAGTAAAGTCATGAAGTCTGTACTTGGCTGTGAGTATCATTTGTCTGGCGTCACTGGCAGATTTTTTGATTTGTATTTTTTACTCAGGAATAACAGTGTAAACGATCTTACAGTCCTCTTACAGTTTCCTTATCAGGTGAAAGTAACTTGTCTTAAAGGGGTTTTTTTTGTTCAGTATTTTGAGCATTAATTTTATTGTTTGGTCAGTCTTTTGTTTCTAAATTGGCTGATTATGGGTTGTTTTTTCATTAGCTGCATTTGTAATTTCTTCTTTAATATGATTTGATTTCTTTCCATGTTTAATCTGTATATTCAGTGGCAGCTTCTCTACATGTTTTTGTGTATGAACTGGTGTTTATTTGTTTTTCTCTTGTCTCTGAAAGTATGTGGGCACTGATGTCATATTAAAGTTATAACAAAGAAGCTGAAAATGTCTCAAAATAAAAGGTATCAGATTGAAAGTCTCTGAAATGTTCCCATCATGTTGTCAGTCATGTTCATTCAGGAGTCTTGATGTTGACCATTTTTAAATGCAGTGTCATTTCATTACCTGTGTATATTTCATATGTTGATTATATTGGTATGTGTTGGGTTAAAGCTGAGATGGCAGCAGGACGTCTGACCAGTTCACACTTTTACATGGTGGATCTCAGAGATTATGTCATTTACAGGTGCTCTCCTGAAACCCTCTCAACACTCAGCTGTGCTGTCTAGCTTATGTAGAAACATATCACAAAGTGATTATAGAGTGTGTTTGCCTATTATTTTATCTGAAGGCCATGTGGCCTAAAAGAGCCCTTGGTATCTGTGGACGCAAGCTCAGCGGAAATACAGTGTTCAGTCACAGAGGCCTAAAATCATGGCTTCATTCAGTCTATTCTACAAACATATCTTAAATGTCCGATAACAATATACCATCAACTCTGACAGTTTACATACTTTGGTTTTATTAAGTAAACTCACACACACAAGCTTGCAACACTGCTTGACCAATCTACTTAATAGATCAAAACTAACTGTTGTACAGTGATGCATGCAACAATTTCAATAAAATGTCCAATCTAAAATTGCAGTTTAACGTTGTAAAATTCACACATGGAGACACATTGTTTACAAATTACTTTACAGAACTTAGTTGTACTTTCTTAACCGCTAAATGCAATATTAGTATTAAATGTGCATATTTGTATTGACACGCTCCTATTTCAAGCTTTATGCTTTATTCCCACCCTTTATACGTCGTAATTCTGTGTTTCTGATGGAGTTGAGCGATCACTTCGCCCTCAGAGCCTCCATCATGAGGGCCTCCATTAGAGTCACTGCTAAAATCGTCAAAGTAATGATGCCAAACTCCATCTTTTGTAGGTCCAAACCCAAACATGCTGACCTAAGAGAGAGGAATCCTTACATTAAACAAAGCCTTACATTAATACAGTCTATTAATTGTCATTAATTAACCTTTATTTGACTCTCTAACTCTAGCGCTTTTTAGACTTGCACTCTATTCATTTACTAAGTTTTCTTAAAAAAAAGAAAAAACACTAGCTTCTCTAATCTTTTTGTATTCTATCTATTTGTTTTCTTTTTATTTATTATACAATTAACAAAAGCACAGCGGCATCGTGTGTAATGTGAGTAACCGTGTGTGTGTGTGTGGAACAGGAGTTTATAGAGGAGATTCTTTCACCTGCGTTCGGAGGGATGATTGCATTTGTGAAGGAGAGCGAGGCACTAATGGAGAAAGGGCAACTTGACAAACTCAGAAACGATGAAGGTGAGTGCTGGAGCTGCTCTGTTTTCTCTGTTGAGGTTTGTCATACTGCTGTATCCTTATGTCTTTAACTGAGTGATGCATTAAAAAAAAATCGTCAAAGTAATGATGCCAAACTCCATCTTTTGTAGGTCCAAACCCAAACATGCTGACCTAAGAGAGAGGAATCCTTACATTAAACAAAGCCTTACATTAATACAGTCTATTAATTGTCATTAATTAACCTTTATTTGACTCTCTAACTCTAGCGCTTTTTAGACTTGCACTCTATTCATTTACTAAGTTTTCTTAAAAAAAAGAAAAAACACTAGCTTCTCTAATCTTTTTGTATTCTATCTATTTGTTTTCTTTTTATTTATTATACAATTAACAAAAGCAAAAAAGGTCTCTAACACTAGCTTTGCTCTATTCTTTTTCTATTCTATCTGTTTCCTTTTTATGTATTATATAATTTAAAAAAAACCTTGCTACGTGTACTGCGTCAAGCTAACTGAGACTTTTTATAGCACGTGCATATCATTGCTCTTTTGTTGATTTTGATTGCTTCCATTGTCCTCATTTGTAAGTCGCTTTGGGTAAAAGCGTCTGCTAAATTACTAAATGTAAATGTAATACACATTCATTACTGTTTTGTTAAGGCACCACTGCCAAAGTATTTTACTATGGTATCATTTGCCTTTGTATTTAAACCAAACCTCAGCTATGTTTAATCAGAGGCAGAATAAAATACAAGCATGGCCCTTGTTTCTAAATCTCTAACCATGCTAGGGACTGATGCGTTTACATTTTGGAAATGAAATGACTTTCTCCTATTCCAAAAGATAGGAGGAAATATTCACTCAGTGCTTCTCACCTCATCACAGATGTGCAGGGCGAATATAAGTGATATGAAGCCAGTGGAAGGATATCCTCCATGACTCTGCAGCCAGCTCTCATAGATATATTTCATAAATGCAGGATGGAGGATCATCACCTCAAAAGAGCAAACAGAACAGTCATGTGGGATAAATCTGCAAATGTTTCTCAATAATAGTAAGTTTGCCATTTCTGCATTTACGGTTTTTCTCAATTGATTTGACACATTTCTCCAAACTTAGGTCACTGCTCTCAAAACAGTTAACAGTGATCTGAACACTTTGTAATTGTCCTAAACAGATTGTCAGTTTTCATTCATTCTATATAAATTACAAATGGCATCCATAATTTTCTCAAAACACTGTACACAGGATTCTCTAATGTTTTCACAATAGTTCATACAGCCAACCAAAACTTTAATGTATTAGAAAAAATAATTGCAACTTTATTTCTTGGTTTTACACAATTAGCCCAAATTGATAACTGCTGAGTTAGTAACACAAACAACACGGGAAATGCAAATGTCCTAATTGTTTACACATTTATCTCAATTACAACAATTATAAAAACAAAAGAAAAAAGGAAGCAAAAAAAAAAAAAAGGTTCGGTACTTCGGTTTTGATGTCACGTTTGGGTACAGCAGGGGTAAAAAACTAAACATACATATATATTTTTTAAATTAAACAGTGGTTTACTGAACAAATTGCTCTTTCTTTAAATAAATTCAGTTATAATTAAAATTTCTTAGGGATAAAAATCTACCTCGGCTTATGCTCTAGTGAGCCCTTTTACATTAGTCCTACTATAAGGTTACAGTTAACAACAGAGCCCAGACTTAAATTTAATTACTTTTTTTTTTTTATAACAAGCAACACTCAACTTAAAAAAAATAAAATTATGTAAACATGTAAATTGCACATAATGCAGTTTTTAAATTAACTTCTAAATTATAAAAATTCTATTTGTTGTTGAAATATATTAATTTACACAGTGCCTCTCACAAGTCGTTTCTTAACAGATTTATTTAAACATTAATTAAGATATCACTAACAGGTAGAGTAAAATATGAGTATATAGTCTAATATCTCTAGACTTCATTTATCGCGCACTAACGAGCTGTGGACACTGATGACTGCCTGAGGGAAATGAAAGGCTGCGTGACGTTTTGTTTACAAGCTGTTTTATTGCCGTCTTTCCGCAGTTGAAACACTGATTGAGCGATTACACGAGGCATGAGATGTTCATTCATGTTTATTTCGCTTTAAAACTAGCAGTAAAGAGGAAGAGATGATGCAGTGGTTAAAACAATGCTGTATTTGTTCGGTACACATGCGTACCGAATACGCGCACACCCCTAAAAAAAATATATATATATATATATATATATATATAAGAACAAGGGCAAGAATGAGAAGGGGAACAGGAAGAGGTGTAAGAGTGAGAGGTGGTGGAGTGGGTAAAGGAAGGCAGGGGTGTACTGAGAGAGAGAAGAACAGTGGAAGAGGTAGGAGGTGAGGGGAGAGAAGGAGAGGGTGTAAGAAGAGAAGGAGAAAGAAGAATTGAGGGAGGAGTAGAGGGAGAAGAGATAGGTAGATTGGACGGCAATGGTATGTTGGGAAGAGAAGAAAATGTAAGACGACATGAACAAAGAGGAAGGGGTCTGCAGGGTGGAAGGGGAGGGAGGAGCGGTAGAGGGTACAGACGGGTTTCAAATGAAATCAGAGCCACCCTGATTGACCATGTTATAAATCATGGTATCTCCTTGGGAGAAGCTGGCCAGAGAGTTCAGCCAAACATAAACCGATCCACATTAGCTTCAATTATCAGAGGGAAAAGCAGTAAGAAACTATACCATTCTGGTTCTATGAGTACAGTCTAGAGCCTTATCTATTTATAGTTCTAATCCTCTAGTGTAAATGTTTGTAATTGTTCACATTTTTTTCAGAATTGAACATTTAGGTGGACAAACAAGACTATTTTCAAATGAACAAGAACATGTCATTGTTGACATTGTGGTCCAGAAAAACACCATCCGCCTCAAAGAAATTCAGCAAAGAATAATACAGGACAATCAATTATTTAATAATATTCACCAATGCAGTCTTGCCACAAATGATCGTGATCTTCACTCCGATAGAGTGAAGGAGTTGCGATTCCAGTTTGTTCTGGTATGTGAAAGCCACACAGTCACTGCACTTTTACTGTAAAAAACAAAGATATGTATTTCCTGGACATTATATGTCCATATACTATTACACTCTGGAAAAATGCATTCATCTCTGATAGTTCTGTGTGAAAGTGGGAGAACTCAATGTTCGGCAACATCTGTTTTCTTTTTTGGAGTTGAATAACAGTGGAACTCATTATGAGTACCTGTATGTTGATGAAGCTGGCTTTAATCTCAACAACAACAAAAAAGGAAATGAGGAAGGAAAGTGATTGGCCATCGTGCCATAGTCAATGTCCCTGGTCAACGAGGAGGCAACATCACCATGTGTGCCACAATTTCAACCACAATGAGCATGTGGCATACAATGCAATATTGGGCCAATACAACAGAGCAGGTCGATCAGGAGCAAATGGAGTGAAGTTTTGTAGTTATCTGGGACAGTGTCCAATTTCATCTTTCAGCACTGGTGCAAGAGTGGTTTGAACATCACCCACATTTCAGAATGGTGTTCCTTCCTCCATATTCTCCTTTCCTGAATCCAATTGAGGAGTACTTCACCTCTTGGAGATGGAAAGTGCATGATAACAACCCTTACAACCAAGTGAACCTTCTTCAAGCAATGGAAGAGGCCTGTGGAGATGTTGAGGCAGAAGCTTGTCAAGGATGGATTCAACATTCACGCCATTTTTTCCCACGATGCATGGCTCGTGAGAATATATGTTGTGATGTAGATGAAATTCTCTGGCCAGATGTAATTGAGAGACATGGTCAATAAAGTTATTTGTTTTAGTGATTGCAGTGCATTTATTTATTTAAGAAACTCATTGAAGAACAAAAGAAACACAAGGTGGAGGATCCACTTGCGGTAGGATTTATTAAGAGTATAAATGAAGAACTAACACAGGGACAAGAACCAGAAACACAGGACAGAAGCATACACCAGAAAACAAAGACTGAAATAACTGGACCAGCCAGATGTTTCAGGTTGATGGGAAGTTCATGTACGACCTCAGGGATTGCATCAAGGCAGACAGAGAGTACAGAGACAGTATCTTGGGGCGTGACAATGCAGGCTGAGAATTCAGATATGGCCTCCTTGTCTGCAACAGAACAGGCAAGGGATTCAGGGATAGGCTCCTTTACTGCAAAAGGATGGGCTAAGACAGTGATCCTCAAATCTGGCTCGTGAGATCCACTTTCCTGCAGAGTTTAGGTCCAACCCTAATCAAACAAACCTAGCTGTGATTTTCTAATGATCCTGAAGACACTGATAAGCAAACTCAGGTGTGTTTGATTAGGGTTAGAGCTAAACTCTGCAGGAAAGTGGATCTCGCGAGCCAGATTTGAGGATCAGAGACAACTTCCTTGGTCGTAATTGGACAGGTGAAGAGCTCAAGGATCGCCTCCTTGGCCGTGACAGGACAGGCAAAGGGTTCAGAGGTGGCCTCCTTGGCCATGACAGGACAGACAGAGAGTTCAAAGACGGCCTCTTTGGCAGATTGAGAGTTCACAGGTGACCCCTATGGTCAAAACAGGCTAGATGCTCAAGGATGACTTCAGTAGTCGAAACGGGACAGGCAGGGAACTCACACATGGCGCACGTTCATGGACTGGAGCAGGCTCGTGGACTGATTCACGGACTGGAAAGGGCTCAGGAGCAGACTCACTGCATCTGAAGGGAGAGCCCCCCATCTGCCGCTGGGTGATGGGAACTCAGAAAACTTTTTGAACTGTAGGGATATGCACAGCTGGGATGGCGTCGAGAGGCGGGATGATTAGAAAGTTGTCGAGAGGGTGAATGAGGTGGGGAATTGCACAATTGTTCGACGAATCCAACAAACTGCTTCTGGTAATGTGTCAAAAATCTTGGAGCTGCTTTGCATCTGAAAGTTAAGCATACAGCGAAAATAGAATTTCCTGTGCCAGCGTACCCCGAATGAGTGCCTGATGGATAGGCATCGCTTCGAAAGCTGAGGTGATGTCGACTTTGGCCAGCCAAATGCCATGACCCACGATTTTTATCATATCGATCGCATGATCAATATCCTGCTATTTGAGAGAAAATTCATCAAGAGGAACCAAAGTGTTTATGCTTGAAAACGGGGAGTTATGCGGGGCTGACAGATCGATTATAAGGCGTTTCTTACCCGAGAATTTTCCTAGTAGCCACTCCGATGTGCCTTTGCGAAAAAACGGAGAAGTTGGGGGCAGCGAAAAGGCTGATAATGACCAGGATCTGTGCTCGGATGTTGTGAGCCGCTGGTGGTGGCTCTGAGGCGACAGTATTTGATGGGACGGGCAGAGGTGTTGTTGTGAAAAGAGAATATTGTGATTTTGAGTGCAGAAGAGAAGTGTAAGGGAGAGGAGTGCTTGCTTCAGCTGCTGTAGCTGTAGGCCCCAGGAAAGGGGAGGGTTTAGTGACGATCGGCGGGAAATGCAGAAATGCCTGTCTAGCCTGCAGTGTTGCCAACTTAGTCATTTTCCTGCTAGATTTAGCAACTTCACGGACTACCCTAGCAATTTGTTTTTCAAAAAGCACATAGCGATTTTTTTTTAAGTGAAAGAAATGATTTTCCTCTTAACCACATGAAAATAAGAAAGTATTGAAACAGCCAGCCAAGCAGCACGTCAGCTGGTAAAGACTTGGAGAGAGGTGCCTAGCAGTACACTCATCACATGTGAATTAAGTTGCTAGCTGCGCTTGTTCAATAATTGTTTATTTATGATACACCTTAGTTGTTAGTTTGTACCTATAATTGTTAATCATTTAGGTACACTGTTAATCTTATCTCGAAAATTGAACTTAACCATCTTATCTATCCATCTATTAAAGTGCAATGTGTAATTTAAAATACAGTAAAATGCTGGTGAAGATTAATACAGAAAATGTAAGTAATTTCAGTGTGCATTCTATGCAGTTTTTCGTCATTGTTACACAATGGCATCAATTCCAATGATGTTACTATGTCATTTAACAACTTTTAGCAACAAACAACCTGCATTTCAGTGACTAACTAAAAATTAGCTAGGAACACTGGTGGCCCGCATCGCTAGCAGAGGCAGCCTCGCGCTAACGTCTGCTACAGGAGCTGGAGGGCCGGCGGCATACGGCACACGGCCGCGAAGAGTCATGGTGAAAGGCTGAGCCGAAGCAGAAAGCGAGTTCTGGGGTGCGGCCCAGGCTCGTTGAAGGCCTGCCGCTGCAACGCAACGCTTGAGGAGATCCGGGTCTTGTGGAGGATGATGGTGATGTCGAGCGAGGTGAGTTCAGGGCCTTGCGAGCTTAAATACTGTCCACTTTTTCCACTCAGAAGAATTGTTGGCACGGCCGAATGATAGGAGGATGCCGGGGAAGAAGTTAGAAGTCTCGCGGGTGGAGGTGAGGTTAGGCCTCGGTGTTGTGGTGAGTGTGTGTCTGATCGAGCAGAGCGGCGCCCGCGATGAAGCCTGGGGCTCAGGCGGAGAAGGAGTGATCCTGGGGCTGGCAGATTGCGGCGGAGGATCTGAAAAAAAAATCACCAGTACAAGTCTCGTCGTTGGACGGGAAAAGTTGAGTCTGTGATATAATGGTAAACGGAGCGAAACTAATGCTGGAAAACTGTCGTGGGACAGAGGCAATTTGCCTGTATATATACGTATTGTGCTAGTTAAGATGATTAACTAAACGTGCTCCACCTGTGCCGAATTGGTTGATTATCTGATCATGCTCCACCCAAACCTTGGTAATAAAACATCATAAAGTGCAAAGTCTATGTACTGTTGTGATGTCAGTTGATTATTCCCACTAGGCAAGATTGATCTCAGAGGCTCATTTAGTCCGTAACAATAAAAGTCCTTTAAAACAGCATCCTTCCAGTCCAGACAGTTAGCATAAGCACAAAACTGGGCAGTATAATCCTCGATAGTATTAATACCTTGATGCAGGAACTAGTGATGTGACATTCGAACCGAGGCGTCGGAGCTTGTGTCGAGAATAAATTAGCATGCCAGATGAAGCCTCAATTCAAGGCTTGTATTGTTAACGTAGAAATCATGTGACCAATGACAAACGAACGGGACAGGAGCATACCCCAGGAAACAAAGACTGACACTGAACAGGGCAAAGAGTTAACAAGGGGGTGGAGCCAATGAATCACTATGACAACAAACAAGGTAGAAGAGGAAACAGTAACTAAACACAGGAAGTGAAAACAGAAACACTGGGGGCAGAAAATCATGGATGGATGATGCCAATTACACCTACCTTATTCCTGTCTGCTTTAACTGATGGTTTCACATACATGTATGTCCTGAGAATAAAGGTAAAAAAAAAAAAAAAAAAACT